TTTAATAATTATTTTCTCATTCATAATCCAGTCATTAATTTATTATTAGGGTATTCATTCAATGAATACACACATGGCCAAATTAAGAATGTAGGAGAGACAGGATACATTTCAGAGAATGGGAGAGTTCATGGTTCTAGTACTAGTTCTATAGATTAGAAATTACTCTCTTCAGTTTTCTGAAGTCCCTGAAGCATACCTCTAGCCAATGTTGCTGCCAACTACTGTTCAAACAATTGTGCACTCTTTAACACTGTAGTGATGTCATGATGTCTTTCTGTGAGCAGTGGTGAATCCCTGTGAGTCTACAGCAACCTCGATTCTTGCCTCCTCAGAAGAAAGAATTCAGCTGAGGGGCATAAGGCAAAGGACGAGAGCTAGGCAAGTTTTAGAGCAGGAGTGAATATTTACTAAAAAGTTTTTTTTTTTTTTGAGATGGAGTTTCGCTGTTGTTACCCAGGCTGGAGTGCAATGGCGTGATCTCGGCTCACAGCAACCTCTGCCTCCTGGGTTCAGGCAATTCTCCTGCCTCAGCCTCCTGAGTAGCTGGGATTACAGGCACACACCACCATGCCCAGCTAATTTTTGTATTTTTAGTAGAGACGGGGTTTCACCATGTTGACCAGGATGGTCTCGATCTCTTGACCTCGTGATCCACCCGCCTCGGCCTCCCAAAGTGCTGGGATTATAGGTGTGAGCCACCATGCCCGGCCAACTAAAAAGTTTTAAAGCAGGAACAAAAGGAAGTAAGTTTACTCGGAAAAGGGCAAGTGAGCAACTCAAGAGATCAAATGCATGGTTTGATTTTTGACTTGGGGTCTTATGTGTTGGCAGGCTTACAGGGGGTTGTGTCCCTGCTCCCCGATTCTTCCTGTCTGCATGTGTGGTGACCTGCTAGCACTTGCGAGGGGCCACATGCACAGTGTGTTTACTGACATTGTATGCATGCTCACTCGAGGCATTCTTCCCTTACCAGTCAAGTGTTCCTAGAAGAAGGTCACATACCAGTTAAACTCCACTGATTTGCCTCTTACTGCACATGCTTGAACCCACTCGCCCAACTCCCAAGATCTTATTGGGAAGCTGCTGATCACCAGCTTCAGGGGTTTTCTATCCATTAGGAGACTGCCTGTTCCCTGGTGCCAGCTGCAACCAATTATTATTTTAGAGAGATGGCTTGAGAACCACCTGGCCATCACCTGATGGTTACCTGACATTCCCAGGGGTAGTGGAGGGCCTGTCCTGCCTTGCTCATGTCTACCTAATACCTACTCTGACATTTCACATGATCAAAGGACTTATACCGATTCTAACTGCCCTCTGATCTTTACCATCTATTTCCTCCACCATATACTTGAAAAATAAGTTAACATGCAACGTGATACTCCTTTAGCCACTCTGTAACACATCCACATTATCTCTTACACATCTTTTGTCAGCCTCATAACTTAAAAAATATCTGGCATATAAGTGGAGAAAGTAAAGCTCATAGTAAAGTGAATAAGATGCGTTACATATTGCAGAACATCCTCAATTCACATTAACATGGTAGAACATCATTGCCTGAGGCTATTTATAATGCAGCTCACCAAAACCCATTGCCCCAGCTAACTGGCTGAAAGCACAAGTAAATAAAATAAATACTAAAGCATACTGTAGCATGTTGAGATACTATGTATAAACAAAACTATAGCAGAAACAAATAGCTTTTAACTAATCAGCGTTGTATGGAGAGTCATTCCAAGGATATATGCATTATTATTACAGGTGAAGGAATTGCATTAAGGAAAACCTGAAGGTAGACAAGAATAAAACTTTCTGGAAAATAACTGGAAACTCAGTTAAGTTAGAGTAAAAGGTGTGTGCAGGAGAGGAAAGACAAATATATTTGGAAAGACATTTAGTGGGAGAAAGTTTTGGGTGTGCATTGCCAACCTACTGTCTTGAAAAGATCAATGAAAATAATAGAAATTTGCCCTTCTTGACCAAACTGATTTCACTCCAGTCACTTACTGTACATATCTGCTTACTATGCATATCCATATGATTTCACTCTAATCACTAGATTGTTCTCTATTAATAAGTAGTACACAATGCAGGAAAAAAGCTTAATGCAAACATTACCTACTGAAGCTCTCCAATCTTCACACTAACAGCATCAGAAACTTGAATGTAAATTGATCTTACAAAGCAAGATTCTTCTACTTAACAATACCTGGAATGTTTGAACTCTTCTACACATCCCAATGACAGTATATTATGAACTCAATTAAAGGGACTGGTTGAGAAAAATTGAACTATTCCATTTATGGAGTGACACTAAAGTGTTTACTAAATAGTTAACAAAAACAGACAAGAAGACAACTAACATTTTACTGTGTCAGTCTCTTAAAACACAGCTATACATGTCTTAATGTAGGAGAAACACTCCCTCCCAAGTACATGTCTACATTCCTAGTGAAGATAGAAGTCATATTATATGATTATCTCTCAATTACGTTACATTGCATTCAATACTACCAATTAGGAAAGGTTATTATGCAGAATCCACCTAAAATCAGCAAAAAGAGAAAGTAGTATTCCATTGTATTCCATTTTGTAATTGTAAGTTTTGAATCATATCATAAATAAGCCTTTTAAAGATCATTCACAAAGAAATAAAAATAGACAGCTACTTTTTAAAGATTTTAAATATGAATCTACAGTATAAATGAACAATTCTCTCAATTTTGTATGACTAGATTATCTTCAACATGGTATAAAATGCACAATAAAAGCATGCTTTGCAGAGTCAAAAATGTTATACTATATCTCAAACCATTTAGAGGAGAAGGCCGTATGCACTGGAAAACTGTTAAATGACTTTAACTGTCCCTAAAGATTGTGAAGGTACTGATGTCAAAGACTCTTGTTAAGAGTTTGTGTAAATTTTAAAAGAACAAGAGGAGCGAAAAATCCCAATAATTCCAAAGTAGTATATTATTTCATGTATGTCATATTAATATGTATGTGTAATAAAATATTAAATTTTATAAATAGACATTAGACTTTTGAAAATGTATCATTGAAATTTATGTATTTGCCCCAAAACATTCTTTGAACTGTCTCACTGAAAAAACAGGGCACTGCTTTTTATTCTATTCTGGCATAAATGATAATTTTGGCTTCAATAAAATATAATGCAGTTGGTGAAATTATTATCCTCATTTTAGGTATGAGAATAAAGAGTGTTCTCAGAAACTTCACCAAGCTCATATGATTAGTAAATGTCAGATCCTAGAGTCATTTTACCTGACTCCAAAACCTATGAATGTTCCTCATTCTACTCTTTGTCTCTGGGAAAACAGAACCCATTTGTACAAGGAGGTAAGGGTGTGAGTGCAAACATGTGCACAATGATTATCATTTAAAACATTTATCAAACAGAATGTTATAGGTACAAAAATACAGAATGTATTTCTGACAACTGTAATGGCTACAATATGTAAATATGTGGTACAATGTGTAAATACGTGTAAATATATGATAAGGGATCATGTGCCCTTAATGAATATCAGTCGTGTCCATGTGTGCATGTGCCTGTGGGTGCAGGCACACTGCCTTAGTTCAGGTGATATTTTAGGTGTATTCCCTCTAATTTCCTCAAATCCAATTTTAAGATCAAAACCTTTGTTGTCAGCTAAGGACCTACTATATAAGTTCTAGACACACTGTTCTTGATGTTTAAGTTATTACAAATGTCCAAATTATACCCCATACACTCGTTTGAAAGATGCTATGAGAGTGTGAATTTAGCTTTGTCCTTCACATCCTCTGCTTCTAGAATCAAACCTTTTCCGGGCACAGATGGCCAGGTTAGACTCGGGTCTCGGGTCTGAATTGCTACATCTTTCTCTTCCCCTGTCAATCCCTTTGCTTCTTGCTGTTGTCTGTGTGTCACAGGAAGCTATGAACTCCCATTGCATGAATTCCACTATTATACTCTGAGAGCTAAATTGAATATTTCTTTAAGCTCACCTCGTGTCTTTTTCTTAACCTTTGATTCTTTTCTCTTTGGCAGCTGCTTTCTCCTACACATACTCCCTTTGATAACGGGGCATTCAATTTTATTGCCATTCCTGTCGCTCTTTCTTATCTCTGATATGGTCTGAATATTTGTTTTTCATCAGAATTCATATGTTGAAATCCTAATTCCCAAGGTGATGGTATTTGGAGATAGGGCCTTTGGGAGGTGATTAGGTCATTAGAATGAAGGCCTCAGGATTGGGTTTTGTGTCCTAAAAATAGAGGCCTCAGCAAGTGAATTTCTTTTCCACCACATGAGAATACACAGACAGTGTCACCTCCAAATCAGGAAGTGGGTCCTCATCAGACATCACATCTTCTGAGCCTTGATTTTGGACTTCCCAGCATCCAGATCTCTGAGAAACAATTTTTTTTATTTGTAATCCACTCAGTTTATGGTACTTTATTACAGAAGCCCAAACAGACTAAGAAACACCTCTATCTCTTTGAAATGACTTTCATCATAATAATCACAAGCTAAAAAAAAGGCGGGGAAGTTTCAGGACTAGGAATAGGATACTGTCCCTTTAAAATATCTCATCTTTTTTTCTTTTTTTTTAATTTTTTAAAGTTGTTTTAAAATTATCTCTTGTGATTTTCTTACATGTATACCCCTTAAGGTATTATGTGAAACTTCACCTTTGGAGCAATGAGAACAGATATGGTCTTTGGAAATTTAGATTTTCTGATACCTATATCCTAACTTCTATACCTTGTCTCTCTTTTTTCTTCCTATTGGTGAACAGTATTACATATTAGTTTAGAATGTGGCTATCATTACTAATCAGCAGTATAACTCACTAAGTTTCAGTTTCTTCACAGTAAAATAGACATAAAAATACCTCCCTTGGTACTTAGGTGTGAGGCTAAAGAAATAATAGATAGAGAATACTTAGTAAGTGTGAGCTTCTACTGTAATTATCATTTGTCGTTGTTCTGCTTTCTCAGCTTTCTCCTCTTCCTCCTCCCCCATCTTCCTCTCTCTCCTACTCTGCTTCCTCTTGCTTCTTCTGCTCTTTCTCTTTCTTGTCTTTTTTTCCTTCTCCTCAGCTTTATCCTCTATGGCTTCTTTCTTCTCCCTGTGATATTCTGCAGAGTTAATGTGATGTTTATTTTTTGAATTTGCTTGATCTCACACTGATAATATTTACCAACTAAACTTGTCTATTCTCCATATATTGTTTCTGCTCTAAGATATAACTTGTACTCTGACCACTTTCATCCAATATATTTATTCAATTTATCAAACACCCAAAAATATTGAGTTTTGTGCCCAAGCACTGTTTTAAGCTCTCATGAAAATAGCAATGAAAAATAAAAGAGTGCCTTTGCACTCGCAGAACTCTGATAGGTAGAGAAGGAGACCATACATCAGCATATAGAGGATGATACATAATGATATGGTTTGGTTCTGTGTCCCCACCCAAATCTCATCTAAAATTGTAGTCCCCACATGTCAGAGGAGGGACTTTGTGGGAGGTGACTGGATCATGGGGACAGTTTCCCCCATGCTGTTCTCAAGATACTGAGGGAGTTATCATGGGAGCTTGTGGTTTTAAGTGTTTGCCAGTTGCCCCTTTGAACTCTCTCTCTTTCTCTCTCTCTCTCTCTCTCTCTCTCTCTCTCTCTCTCTCTCTCTCTCTCCTGCTGCCATGTAAGATGTGCCTTGCTTTCCCTTCACCTTCCACCATGATTGTAAGTTTCCTGAGGCCTTCTCAGCCATTTGGAACTGTGACTCAATTAAACCTCTTTTATTCCTAGATTATCCAGCCTTTGGTGGCATCTTTTTAGCAGTGTGAAAACAGACACATAATAATGAGGAAAAAAAAGCAAGGTAAAGAAGGCAAATGACAATACATAACACATGATATCTATCATGTCTCAAAAATCTTTAGAGCCTGGTTGTGTGACAGATGAGTAAATAAAATTATTAAGCACCATGATAAATACTCTGATAAAGATGTATCCTGGATATAATGGGAACAAAGACAGGGAGCACTCATTCCAGCCTGGAAACACTAATCAAGGTTTCTAGGAGGAAAAGAATCCTGATCTTGGCCCTAAAAGGACAAGCACAAGTTAATAATATTAAAAGACATATAAGGAAATTTCAGAATAAGCAAATTATGTGAAGGCACAAAACAAAACAAAAAGCAACAAAGAATAAAAGGAAAAGAAGAAAATATGCAAATAGTTAAGAATATGTAAATTTATTACAGTTATAGGGCTGTAGAAAAACCTTACCAAAATTTAATATAAGCACCACCACCTTAGTGCATATCTGCCCTTCTCTTTTTTCTTTCTCTTTCTCCTTTTCTTTCTACTTTCTTCCTTTCTTTCTCTCCTTCCTACCAACCTTCCTTCTTTCTATCTTTCTTTCTGTTAATTCTGTGAAGTTCTAATTCCCAGTCTCATATACTTACAATAAGGCAGTTACTCTCTTCATTTCTGGAGTGGAAATGTGTATCAGGACTGGCCAGACACAGTATACTACACAATAATTTTTTCAGTCCAAGCTGAGTCTGGATTGTCTTTCTATGTCTCCCCCAAATTCATAAGTTGAAACCAAATTCCAAGTGATCATATTAGAAGCCCTATGAGAGGTGATTACGTCATGATGATAGAACCTTCATGAATAGAATTAGTACTCTTATAAAAGAGATCCCAGAGAGACCTCTCGCACCTTCCACCAAATGAAGTTACAATGAGAAGACAGCATCTATGATGAAGTGGGCCCTCGTCAGACCCCAACTTACACCTAGAGCTTGAACTTCCTAGCCTCCAGAACTATAAGAAATCATATTTCCATTATTTATTAACCACTCAGTCTATGGTGTTCTATTACAGCAATCTGAACAATCTAAGACAGAAAATGGGTACAGGAAGTGGTGTGCTGCTGCAACAAGTACCTAAAAATAGGGAAGTGGTTTGGGAACAGAGTGATGGGTACAGACTAGCAGAGTTTTGAGTTGCATGCTAGAAAAAGCTTACATCAGCATGAAAGGAATTTAAAGGCAATCCTGGTGAGACTGGAGGGAAAAAAACCAAAGGAGAGCTTGCAGAGAAAACCTCAATCTTCTTTAGAGTATCTAAGCAGGCTGGATGCAGTGGCTCAAACCTATAATCCCAGCACTTTGCAAGGCTGAGGAGGGGGATCACTTGAGGTCAGGAGTTCAAGATCAGCGTGGCCAACATCATAAAACCTCCTCCCTACCAAAAAAAAAATTGCTAGGCGTGTTGGCACATGCCTGCAGTCCCAGGTACTAGGGAGGCTGAGGCAGAAGAATTGCTTGAACCCGGAAGATGGAGGTTGCAGTGAGCCGAGATCACACCTTTACACTCCAGCCTGGGTGACAGAGTGAGACCCTGTCTCAAAAAACAAACAAACAGAAACATAATATCCAAGTCATCTTGAGTAGAACTTTTGGTGGAAATATGGATAGTAAAGACCATTCTGATAGAGCTCAGATAGAAGTTAGATGCATGTTATTGGACAATGAAGGAGAGACCACCTTCTTATAAAGTAGCAAATAAATGTGCTGAATTATGCTGGTGCCATGGTGTTTTATGGTAGGCAGAATCTGCTAGTTATAAAATTGAATATTTACCTAAGAAAATATTTATACAAAGTCTTGATAGGGTGACTGGTTTCTCTGGACTGTTCATAGTAAAGTGTGAGAAAAGAGGAAGGACTTAAATTTGAAATTGTTCATCAAAAGAGAAACAAGACTTAAATATTTGGGAAATCCTCAGCCCACCAATACTGAAAGGAATAAGAAAGACTGCTCAGGAGAAAACACAAAGTGTGTGGCCAAAGGACCTTCAAATGAGATTATTCAATCATCTGAATGGAAGCCAGGAGCTCTTGTCTAAGACTATGGAAAAAGCCTTTCCCCCTCACCCCTGCCCCAAGGCAATTCAGAGATTTCCAGAGAAGCCACTTGCGCCTGAAGGACCACCATGCATCAGCACCTCACCACAGGCTCTGCTCCTTGCATGCTGGTCCCATACTCCTCAACCCCCCAGGCTGTGGCTTTTACAGGCCCAGGTACCATCTGGGCCACAGTGGTTGCTCCTTAAGCAGACACAGGCATTGGGCTGTATTGATATGGTACCATTTCTGCTGCTGCACAACTCATGGAGCTCTGTCTGTCTCCTTCTGGATTTTAAAGTATGGAGCTCCCCTTGCCAGTGATGAAGAGGGGCAGGGATTGCTACACACAATACATTGCTATTTTCACTTTAATTTTATTTTAAAATAATTAAAAATTAGATAAAATATCTTCCATATTTACCATCACTTTAACATTTCTTAACATATTTGTAACATTATGCACATTTGATTTTTTTTTGTCTGAGCTTGTACGTCATTTGCCTAAAGAAATTTTTAAAAATATCTCTTTCAGTGGAAGTTACTAGTAATGATTTCTCTTAGCTTTAGTGTTTTAAGATTATTTTATGTAAAGGCTTTTAAAACATACTTGTAGAAAATGTTATAAAATAATACATATTAAGTGTATTATTTAATATGTATTATTAATACACATATAAATGTGTATAAAATAATACATATTAAATTATGTGTTTTATATATATATATAGTATATATACTATATACATGACATAGACATATTATGTATGTTTTTTCTTCCCTGAAGTACTTTTAAGATGCCACTCCATTGTCTTCTGGGTTTCATAGCTTTAATGGTAAGTCTGCTGTAATCCATCTATTTATTTCTTTGTATTCATTGTGTCTTTTTTCTCTCTCTCTCTAGCTTCCATCAAGTTTTTGCCTTTATATTTGGTTTCCAAAAGTTTTAATGTAGTGTCTACAAATGTTCGTTTTTCTTTTTTGGTATTATCTTGCTTGATATAATCTTGGTCTCTTAGATCTGTGATTTGAAGTATTTTGTTAGCTTTAGAAAATATGTATCACCCTCATTTTCTCCTCTCCTTCTGGAATTCCAACTTATGTCTTAGACCTTTTCAAATTTTCCTGCTGGTCTTGGATTCTTTGTTCTTTTTTGTTTCTCCCTCTCTCTCCCTTTATCTATCTCTCTCTCTCTCTCTCCCTCTCTTTCTCTCTTTCTCTCCTCTCCCTCTCTTTCTCTCTCTCTCTCTCTCTCTTTCTCCCCTTTTCTCTCCCTCTCTCTTCCTCTCTCTCTCTCCCTCTCTCTCTCTCTATCCCTTTCTCTCTTTCTCTCCCTCTCTCTCTCTCTCTTTTCTTTATGCTTCAATGTGGGTTATTCCCATAGATTTATCTTTGGGTTAACTGATTTTCTTTTCCCGTGGCCACACTGAATCTACAGACGAGCCCATTAGATGTGTTTTTTCATCTCTACTGCTTTGTTTATTTGTTTTTTTGTTTCTTAGGATTTTCATTTGACAAAAGATTATAGTTTCCATGACTCTTGAAGTTTTCAATCTGTTTATGCATGTTGTTTATCTTTTCCTCTAGAAATTGTAACATTTTAATTACTATTATTTTAAATTACCTGTTGGAAGATTTCAACATCTGGATCATTTGTGAATCTGATTCTTTTGTTTGGTCTCTTGATATATATATTTTTTGCTTTATTATATACCTTTCAAGTTTTGAGTAAATATAATTTGTGTTTAGGACATTGTTAACATAAGTAGATAGTATTTTCTTTACTTTTGGTTTCCAGGGGGTTTTTGTATACTTACACTAACACACACTTTGATTTTTATTTGTTTAAAAATTTTGGCTGAATTCTATTTAAGCCACTTGTATGATGCTCTGTGTGTTTTATCTCATATCTTGCCACTAATGAACAAGTGTTTGAGGCTCACCTGTCAGTAGAATAATTTGTCTTTCCTTGTATTGTAATTTATGTTGCTGACCTCTGGCATGTTTTACTGATTTGGAGAAAAATTATTATTTTGTACTTTGTCCTGTACAATGTATATATAACCCTGAAGTTGTCTGTGGCCATCTCATGATTGAATAGGAAAAGCTTATATGATAATAAGGCTAACACAAGAATTTAGTTCTGAGAAAACACAGAAAGAGACAGGTTCCTTTTTATTAAAGTAGGCTGATCAATACTCTTCCGAGGTTTCATATT